AATATTTTAAGTGAGATGCTGCTGCCCATCCCTCGACCGTTAAGTTCCCTTAATCGCTTCTTACGATATCCACGGGAAAGGAAAGGATGGCCTGTTCTATGCCAGGACCACATGAATAGTTATAGTAGAATGAATATAATCCTATAAATTATGAAAAGAATTATTATAATTTGTTTAAACTTGACGCAGATATCGTCTAACATACACATTAAAATACCATTGAATTGAAAACTTACTTTTAAAAGTCCCTCAAAAACTAATAATCTTATCTCATTTACAACACCACCAACACTACCAAGTAAATAGGACTCTAGCAATATATTTTGTCAGGTCGACCCCTTCGTGGTTCCTCTTAAAAAACAATCGTGATTGATTTATTGTTAGATTCGTCACGATGAGTTAACTAGCCTACGTTTTCGTTCTCAACTATCATCCCTCACTGATGCCCCGCCAGTGTATACCGATAGCGCAGGCGGATATACTATTCCATTATCATCCATTAAAAAAAATAAGTATTACTTTAACTGTGATAATAATATGTATGTATTATCTTAGCAAATCCCTAAAGTTATGAGACTACGAATTGAGCGATTGATCGGTAGCTCAATCAAAATAGTTCTGCAATTGCTAACTGAACAACTTATTGAAACTGAATCGAAAACGGATAAGCATAACATTTTTAGACTTTTTAATGATAGTAAATCCTTATGAGTTCGTTCTTCTTGGATCTTGATAATTCAACTAAATCAATATGAAATTTGATAAACGGAGATATTATATAACCAAACCTGATGTCTAAGATACAAGCTACAGCTTAGTTTATTTATTATTTATTTCCAATAAATTACAATATTTATATTTTTGTGTAAAGGTAAATAATCTGTGCATACACTGTTATTTGTGGAAATGAAATAAACTTTAGGAGGGAAAAGAACTTGGACTACTTTTTATTCTGGTCAATGAATTGTTTTTTATGCAACTTAAAATGGCAAACAAGCTGACGGCCCACCTGATGGTAAGTGATAACCGTCGCCATGGACATAAAAAGTATACTGTTTCGTCCATGATACTCCCATGCATTGCCATTCTTGAGGATGTTGTCTCAGATGTTATTCTTCTGTACCCAGTCAATTCATTGCCATATCCCACCTTTTAAACCGAAACACAGCCATGCAAACACAACTGCTTCACGGTAGAAACACGAATGGGACAGAGGTACTCAAGCAAACGACTTTTGTACAAAATCTCCCTCTGGTAAATACCTGAATATGTTCTGGTCACGAGAAATCGCGAGTACAATGAATACCTTCTACTCATAATTGTTCAAAATCGATCCTATATTATTATAGAAAGAGTATTACTAGCCATTAGAACAGCATCAGATTTACACTAACTTGCATTTAGCAAGCAGTTCCGCGCTGAAACGAGTGGAATTCTAAATCTAGATTATACGGGTCGGCGACGGGAGAAAAAACTCATTTCCATAATCCGCTATTACAGAGCTATTGTTCACAATTTTTATCGAGTCACCGGAGGCGTAAACTTTACTGTTGTAAGAGGTTTAGTTTAGGACCCGAGGGTCACGTCTTTATTAAGATGTTTTTATTAATGGTAGGGTTACCATGTCTGTGGTATTAGTCTACTAGCACCAACGAAGGATGGTAGGAAATTAAAACAATTGGACCATTGTAACGCATTCAGCAGAAATTAATTAAGGTTTCGGACAGGGGTCGTCCTAGCAGGATACATTAATAGCAATGGAATTAGTAATGTCCAAAAAAATTTTCGAAAAATCCCTTCTTCTCCCGATCACTATTCTTTAAAATATTTAAAACTGTAGATCTTTTATATTTGCTAAAAATATTATATCTTCAGTTGTACACTACACAGAGATCGTGGTTTTTATGATAACAGCAATTTATTTTTAATGAAGATCTCTTTGTATCTACAAGGAAACATTACAAGAACCTCAATCTTGAGGCCTCCATAATGTCTCCGTCTACTTCTGTTCTTGATGACACGAAAGCATACACCAATGAACTGTTAGGTGATCGTTTTAATAAGATCAGCCCATTGCATTGTTTTTATCTTCTATTGAACATTGTAAAACTTAATGTAAGGATATACACTGTATAAGCTGTAGACCAGAATATTTATATTGTTGTTGTGATACGGTATTATCAAAATACGATTTCTACTAGAAAACCGATCTGAACCGGAAACTCTATTCAACGCAACAACAATTCACTATTGATTTACAAACCTATAGATTCCTAACGCCCACATAAATTGAATAATCACTAAATTGTATTTATACGGTACCTTTTGTCTATTCTTAGATATGCAATGACATAATAATAAAATATAAGATAGATAAATCCTTTATTACCAACAACAATAAACAATATTAATTTCAGTTAAAATAAACGACAATAAAGAAAAAAAAACATACATTTTGGTGATATTAAGAGCTGTTGGTATATATCACACCTCCAACGAAATACACCTATACAGCGCTGATATTCAGGCAGCCCCTTTACTCATTTTACTTTAGCATTCGTGCGAGTGGCCAATGTCTATTTTTCAAATATGAGACTTAATACATTAAAAAAAAAAATTACATGAAAGATTATAAATAATACAAATTCTAAACACAATAACATAATTAACTGTGCCAGTATGAACCACTTTGTTGCTTTAATTAATTCTTCATGGCCAGAGATACATATCCATTCTTACACCATGTCCTTACGGAGTAGGCAGTACTCAAAATTTTTATTTATTGGAATTTCAAACGATCCTACGGCTCACCTTATAGAGTAGTTATATAATTATAGGTCCCGGCTTGGAATGAGCCACCTTTTCTGTGAGTAACTTAGAAGCGGCTAAGAGAATTTAATAGTCAAGGGCAAGGCAATAGGCAGCAGCGTCCCTCTTAAAACATCACCAAAGCGGTTATTAACCCGCCTGTCAAGCATGGCAACTACTGGTAAAACCCCCCTATGGGGTAGTTCAACAGTGGACAGTTAACGACTGATTTGTTGATAACGACACTATAATACCTCTAATATTTAATGTTGCCATTCCAAAGGTCTACATTCATATGTATACAAAAAAATGTTCTCTAGACTGAAATTTTAAGCACACCTACTACAGCAGCAAAACATGATAGAGACAGAGTTACCTACCCATTCAGCTATACCACTTAGTATGATAATTTACGCACCTAATATTCAAAATTCTTATCGATTCATTACTCAATGAAACCTTGGCCTAACACAACAAAATGTGGCGTTAAAAATCAGGAAAGCAAACAAATTAAAATGTAATTGGTTACGTACCAACTTAATTAGAATTGACGTAATTAATTCCCAGAAATCACGAGCAGGACATAATTCAATTAAATATTAAATACACTTGGCATAATTTCTCCTTAATTTAGATTTATTTTGAGGTGATTTTCACATGTTTGCGTTGTTAAACAATTGGTAAATTTTAATTTGCTTCCTTTGTTACACTTTATTATTTTTTTCTAATTATTTTTTCAACATACGAGTACATACTTATTCGATACACACACAATGTACCGTATATGCCGTACCTAAAAACCTAGTAGGATTTACATAGGCATCAGCGAGTTGCCGGTATTCATACATACTAGAGGGAGACTTTGTACAAAAGTCGTTTGTTTGGGTACATCTGTTCTATTTGTGTTTCAACCGTAAAGCAATGACGTTTGCATGGCTGTTTCGGTTTGAAGGGTGAGATATGGCGTGAATTTACAGGGTTCAGAGGAATAACATCCGAGTCCTCAGGAATAGCAACGCATGGGAGGTATCATGGGCGATACAGTATACTCTGTTATGTCTATGGTACTGCTCATGTCTATAGGCGACGATTACCACTTTCCATCAAGTGGGCCGTCAGGTTGTTTGCCATTCTAAGTTGCTTAAAAAAACATATAATAGTTGCTATATTGATATATTATTATTTATGTTACTTAGAATATAAAATGAGCTTACGGCCCGTTTAATGGAAACCGGTACATCACCTTTAACTATAAATAGCAGCATGGATATTACATGATACACTGCGACGTCAATGGTACCCCTTAAGTATCGGGGAGAAGGGATCGTTAGTAATGGAGATTAGCAACTGCTTGCTTGATCAACATCTATTTTCCTTCACTGGTACCCCGCCTATATGTATCGTTAGCGCAGACGGGCATTCCATTATCATCCATTAAAAAAATCTATTGTCCGTCAAATATCCCCATAAAATACCATAAAAAATGGTCCTAAACAATCTTGTGGACATTGAACAAAATAATTTATAAATGGTTTACGAGAGCTACTTGAATTTCTGCAGCAAAACAAGTGGTACTGCTAAAATTGGAACTCAGCCTTGTATGATCGGGTCAATTATTCGTTTACCAACATTTTCATTAAAACTTATTGAAACTGACTTTATATTTGATCATGAACGTTTTCAAACCGGACATTTCAAGTGGTCTGCTCTAATTACAATTGCAGAACCATTCAATCAGCAACTACGACCAATTACTGAAATACAAGCCACCAATTGCGACCAGTATTAGGCAGTAGGTATGCAATCCAATTTCACAGGCAGTTGATATTACATGGCTTCTGGTACATTAATCAGATTTATGTTTAGGTAATCTTAGTTATTTGTCAAATAATTTAGCACAAGAAGCTTTCTAAATAAGCCATCTGCAGAAATTTATAATTCTTTATCTATGCTCGAATACCTCTTTGGAAAAATATATATCTTCTTTTTCCGAAATTTTTATCTTGCCGGCTTGATTATTCAATAATACAATATTTTTAACAATATTTTTGTCAGTCAAATTCGAAGGTCGTGAACTTTTGCAGTCTATAGTTGGAGTCTTAGATGGTAGGTTATACTAAGTCTATGGTGACAATAGTATACACTAAGAACAAACCACGGGAACGAAAAACATGTAGATTAATAAATAAAACTTCTTGATTTATAGTTAATATATATTTATTTATAATTTTTATGGGTATCCAAGACAGTAATGACGTATGTAAACAGTAAAATATAATGGGATTTTAAGTAACATATTCGTAACACTTAAAAGTCTAGATTTTTTTAATGCTATGCTTAAATTTAATGCGTTACTAGCAATATACTTAGGGTTTATTGCTAGCAACAACAATGGGGCAATTAGACCCCATTACTAACAATCCCTCTTCCCCTAGCACTTAAGAGTCAGGCTTTATAGCAATTTTTCAATATATGGAAAAAATAGGCTTATTCAATTCCAACTTATTCTTTTAAAAGTACATAGGTAGCTAGTATACCAGTATAAAAAATGGTTAAAAACAAAACATGTTGTTTATATCACATATTTGTATTCGCTTATTTTACTACTTTATTTATTATATCTTAGTACTTAAACAACATGCAGAAAATATTAGTAGCTCAGGAATAATAAATATAACTATTTATTTAAAATATATAAGTATGTACGTTAGGTTAGGTATATACAATAGGGATAACCCTTCTTTGCATAATGGTGGAAATTTCCATCATAACATTGAATGTCCAAAAATTTTATAAAAGAACAAGTTCACTTTAAGTTAATCGTGTCTTAATAACTTTTTAATGTATATTGCAGAAAAAAAAACAAAGCTGTCACATTTATTTTTTAACGTTTTTCCTTTAATGTTGAACATGAATTATATCACCTTGATTTACTTCACCAAAAAAAAAAACATGCAAAGAAGGGTTAACCTACTGACAAAACTATGGACTAAAAACTTAATTATAATTAAACTTAATGTAAAATATAATTACTTACTCGTATTAAATTGTTAAGTAGTATTTAACAAATGTACTACACATATGTTAAATAGATATTTTTTATATTAAATATTAGGATCGTACTCAAAAAACTAAAATGGAACACTGCACATAATTTTCAACATTGATGAAATAAGGTTTAAAAATAAATAACCATTTACATGGTACAATAGTTACTTAGTTCTAAATGCTACAAATAAACTTATCCTAAACACAAACAATCTAAAATAATAGACATATGACATATGTGAATTTATTAATCATATTAATAAACTAACGATACGACCCGGCTTCGCACGAATAGACAGAATTTTCAAAAATCAATACTTATAATAAAAGAAGTTTCAGCCATTTCAAATGTGGTTCTTTATATTGATATACCTTTTTTATTTATGAACCGGTTGAAATAAAATAAACACTAAATGTTTAATAGAGCAGACCGCATTCAAATCGGTTCAGCCGTTTCTGAGATTAGCTTGCACAAACGTACAGACATACAGACAAAAATTCTAAAAATCAATATTTCAGATTCTATTGCGTTCATATACTCCTCCTGTAATACGTTTTCTTATATATCTTCTATGTACAGACAGCGACCAATTACGATTTTATTATATGTATTGATTAACTTCCTATGCTACCATGTTTAAATTGACAGTAAAAGATCTCTTTTGGAAATAAATTTAACATTACTTACATTATTTCTAATAATTGTTATTTCTTAGTAAAATATCTAATATATCTAATATATGAATTCCCTGAGGAAGAATATCGACTTTCAACAGCCTTTAGTGAATAGTCACCCTTAAATAAAAAAAATTGGTATTGTTAACAGTTATAAAATACATTTCAAATTTAACACTTAAATTGTCCTTAATGGACAGCAGCATCACTCTTAAGCATCCCTCAAGCTTAACTGCGGTTGCAACGCCAACGTGGCAACTACTGGCAATAATCCCTTTATGGGGTAGGCTTATGTTCAATAGTGTACAGTTAACGGTTGCAGTGACGATAAATTATAGTTAAAAATAACTTAAAATTAATTTATAGATATCTATGCTATTTTTATTAAAATTAAAAAAAAACTTAATATTAACTTATTAGTATACTTATATTTATATAATATTAAGCCATTCTTTCAATACAAGTGCCTACTTACAGCCCACTGACGGAGAAATCACGTGGTCGGCAGTCCAAAATTTGTCCAATTTGGGAGGTCTGCAGAGCAAATATACAAGTTTTTAAAATTATATGTCTGTGTTATTTAAATCTATAACTCTAATATTTATAAAGATGAATTGAACACAAATTAACCTATGTATAATTGTTGTCCACTATCTGTAGCGGTGAATTATTTAAAACTTTTACATAAATATTGATTGACAAATTTCAAAAGTATTTACATAAATATTTTCGTGTTTAAAAACATATTTGGGTTCGATTATATATATAAAATTCTCGTGTCGCGGTGTTTGTTACCATCTCCTCCGAAACAGCTTTACCGATTTTTATGAAATTTTGTGTGCATGTCGGGTAGGTCTGAGAATCGGCCAACATCTATTTTTCATATCTCTCAATGATAAGGGTGACCTAAATATTTTTTTTTATTTTTTTGTCAAAATTTTTTATTTTTATTTTATTATGATTTAGCATTGAAAAATACATACAAATTCAAATTTCAAATATTTTTATTAAATTACGATTTATATTTTTTTAGTATCGCGATTTTTATATATGGTAAATAGGATTGCATAGATGACAATCGAATATAATAATTGTAGTAGGATAAATTTTCATGTATAGTTCTCGAAATAATGTATATGGTAAAACAACGTTTACTGAGTCGGCTAGTACATATATATATATATATATATATAGTGCTAATTTACACATAAATACAAAGGAAAACACATGCGCGTCAATACCCCGCTAGTATATATAATCATATAAGTAACTAAAAGATATTAGCATTCTTACCATCGCCTTTACACGTACGTGGCCTCTATACGGCGCCCCTCTATATAGCTGTTATTAAAGCGTCCTGCGATATCCGTTAAGGAAACTCATCAACACTATTGGGAACATCAAGAGCTACTCGTTTCGACTATCGGAAAGTCTTGCCACTAATGAGTTATTAATTATACATTTGATTAACATTCTTGTACATCGAAATATACTTAACCAGTGCTTCATTATGATAAGTGACTAGAATGTTTACTAATTATATGACTTTGTACTGAACAAACGATTCGACCCGGCATCGCATGGATAGATAGGATTTTCGAAAATAATATACTCTCTGATAATTTAGCTTTCTATAGGTGAAAGAATTTTTAAATTCGGTTGAGCATTTGTTGAGTTTATCCATATTTTTTTTTATACAACTTGGCATGGCAAACAAACTGACGGCCCACCTGATGGAAAGTGGTAACCGTCGCCTATAGACATGAGCAGTACCATGGACATAACAGAGTATACTGTTTCGCCCATTATACTCCCCATGCGTTGTCATTCCTGAGGACTCGGGTGGTATTCCTCTGTACCCTGTAAATTTACGCGATATCCCACCATTCAAACCGAAACACAGCCATGCACACACAACTGCTTCACGGTTGAAACACGAATGGGACAGAGGTACCCTAGTAATCGACTTTTGTACAAAGTCTCCCTAATACATACTGGCTTTTTTCCACAACGGATACGTATGAATATTGAAAGTAGACAATAAAACATACACAAAATTTCAAGCTCCGCCTTCAGAAACATAACTGTGTAAACCGCATCCAATTTGATGCAGTAGTTTTGTGTGATGCCGGAACAAACATAAACATGTTATGTAATAACTACCGGTTTATCTTACGTGTAATTAGATGAAAAAAACTCGACTAGTTTCGAAATCAATTCGTGATCCTTAGTCATGAGCGACTGTAACGCGAACACGAGCCTGACTATCCTTGACAGATTTTTCTTTCTATATAAAACCAGTAATTATTACATTAGATAAGACAGATAGACAGACAAAACAGGGGATCAGAGTCGTTTGTCCACTGTTACTGTTGTGGTGAACGTAAAATGATCCTCGCCATCTCTCGGATTAATAAAAAAAAATATTCTAAATTTAAAATCGAGTTCATATTTCAAAATGTTAAAAGGATACGGAAACACACATCAGCATGCTTTGGAAGATTAAACTTCACGAAGGCACACCCAGGTGACCCCAATCGCAGAGACATCACCTGACCGCACTGTGACATCTTGTTGCAGAGTAATGTAAAGGTTACAGTTGGCGGCAACTGAAAATCAAAGTGACAATTTAAGAGCTTATATCGAAATTTACCGAAATGTAATAAAGTCAGAATTATCTGTAAATATTCAAAAATAATTGAATAATTTTTTACATTACGATTCTCTGACAGTGAACTCTAATTAATTTGATTAACCCTTCTTTGCATAATGATGGAAATTTCCATCATAACATTGAATCGCCAAGAATTATACAAGTTCACTTTCAAGTTGGTCGTGTCTGGATACCTTTTTAATGGCCATTGCAGAAAAAAAAAACATAGCTGTCAAATTTATTTTTTTAACCATTTTTCCTTTAATTTTGAACATATATATATATATATATATATATATATATATATATATATATATATATATATATATATATATATATATATATATATATATATATATATATATATATATATATATATATATATATATTTCAGTACTATAATGTAGGTAAAACACATATCGTTTTTATTCAGTGTAAATTAATCTTAATGGAATATTCATTGCGTATACCATGGACTTTTAATTGCCAACTAATTGGTATCATCCAAATATAAAAGTATATTCAAAATGAGACAAAAAAAATTTTTTTATGCAACTTAGAATGGTAAAAAAGCTGACAGCCCACCTGATGGAAAGTGGTAACTGTCGCCTATAGACATGAGCCGTAGCATGGACATAACAGAGTATACTGTTTCACCCATGATGTTCCCCATACGTTGCCATTCCTGAGGACTCAGGTATTGTTCCTCTGTACCCTGTAAATTCACTGCCATATCCCACTCTTCAAACCGAAACAGCCATGCAAACACAACTGCTTTACGGTAGAAACATGAATGGGACAGAGGTGCCCAAGCAAACGACTTTTGTAAAAAAAAATATAACCAATCTTGCTTATAATCGTTCTATTGCTCACATTGTGTGTAATAGAACGCTATGCTATCTTTAATTATTATACTAAATGGCAATAAATAAACTCAGACATTAAAAAAAATAGAATTTTAAGCTTCATATACTATACATATTTTACAAGTATGTATATATAATAATAATGATATGTAATATTCAATAAATACTTACATTTTGTAGACGGATCGTAGAGGAAGGTATGGAATTATTAGAACCAGACATAGATGCTTCAGAACCATACATAGGCCCTGAATGACTAGAGACAAAGTCACTAGAACTGGCCATAGGACCAGTGGAACTACCCATAGGTATATTGGGATTACTCATGAGACCATTTGGACTGTTGGTACCACTCATGGGACTGTTAGAACCACCCATAGAACCCGTACTTGTAGGGCCACTCATGGGCCCGTTGGTGCCACCCATGGAACCATTGGGGCCACCCATAGGCCCATTGGGGCGACCCATAAAACCGCTGGGTCCACTCATGAGCCCACCGGGACCATTTGAGCCACTCATAGGACAAACCATGGAACCATTAGAGCCACCCATCGGCCCATTGGAGCCACCCATCGGCCAGTTGAAGCCACCCATCGGTCCGTTGGGGCCAGCCATCGGTCCGTTGGGGCCACCCATCGGTCCATTGGGGCCACCCATAGGTCCATTGGGTCCACCCATCGGTCCGTTGGGGCCACCCATAGGTCCGTTGGGGCCACCCATCGGTCCGTTGGGGCCACACATAGGTCCGTTGGGTCCAACCATCGGTCCGTTAGGGCCACCCATCGGTCCGTTAGGGCCACCCATCGGTCCGTTAGGGCCACCCATCGGTCCGTTGTAACCAACCATCGACCTGTTGGGGCCACCCATCGGACCGTTGGGGCCACCCATCGGACCGTTGGGGCCACCCATAGGAACGTTGGGGCCACCCATCGGCCCGTTGGGGCCACTCATCAGACCGCCTGGGCCACCCATCGGTCCGTTGGGGCCACCCATCGGTCCGTTGGGGCCACCCATCGGTCCGTTGGGGCCACCCATCGGACCGCAGGGACCGCCCATCGGTCCGTTGGGGCCACCCATCGGGCCGCAAGGGCCACCCATCGGTCCGTTGGATCCACCCATCGTTCCGTTGGGGCCACTCATCGGACCGTTGGGGCCACCCATCGGACCGCAGGGGCCACCCATCGATCCGTTGGGGCCATTCATCGGGCCACAGGGGCCACCCATCGGACCGCAGGAACCACCCATCGGTCCGTTGGGGCCATTCATCGGGCCACAGGGGCCACCCATCGGTCCGTTAGAACCACCCATCGACCCGTTGGAACCACTCATCGGTCCGTTGGGGCCACCATTCGGACCACAGGGACCACCTATCGGTCCGTTGGAGCCACCCATCGGTCCGTTAGGGCCACTCATCGGTCCGTTAGGGCCACCCATCGGTCCGTTGGAGCCACCCATCGGTCCGTTGGGGCCACTCATCGGCCCGTTGGGGCCACACATCGGTCCGTTGAGGCCACCCATCGGTCCATTGGGGTCAGTCTTCGGCCCGTTGGGGCCACCCATCGGTCCGTTGGAGCCACCCATCGGTCCGTTGGGGCCACTCATCGGCCCGTTGGGGCCACCCATCGATCTGTTGGGGCCACTCATCGGTTCGTTTGAGCCACCCATAGAACCATTTGAACTACCCGTAGGACCACCCATTAAACCACTTGCACCACCTGTGGACCAACTGGAACCACCAATGGAACTATTGGAACTCATCTGCCATGCTGGACCATTTATTTGACCAAACGGACCTATTGGTCCAGCAGGCCCACTCATAGGCCAATTAGATCTACCTATAGACCCACTGGTTTCAGCCATGGTACTAATAGAACCATGTGACTTAACATCTTCTACCTTCTCTCCTATGGGACTAATTCCTTGTGTCTGTGGCTGTAGTGACGCCGTAAAAGTGTTCTGCGTATTCTGTGTCTCTTCATAACGACTATCAACAGGTTTTGTAGACATTGATGGTAACAAGTTTGATGGATTATTATCTGATTTATGAGGTATTGCTTTGGCTACATTTACTTTGTCTTTTTGATTGTCTGTAATACTTTGATCCTTGCCTTGGGTGGTTGCTTCTTTATCAGATTCTTTAATAGAATTACTATCTTCACGTTTACTTTCCTTGTTGATGCTTTTTTTCTCTGCAATATCACTACCACAGTCCATATTGATACTGTCAACTATATCATCCATATTTTTAATTATGAAGGCTATTATATTATCAAATTCCATCGCTTTTGTTGATACTTCACAATTATTACCTTCCTCTTTTATTTCCTTTTTATCGCAACGTTTTTCTCTTTTAACATGTCGATTGTCATTGTCATTTTGTCCACAATTCGAATCAAGGGACTTGAATAAAGATTTATTTATCAAACAAGGTTGTTTATTTACAAACTTTTCATATTCTCTCGCAACGTCCCTTAAAGGTTTGCCATTAAGTCCAAAACCATTGCCTATATCAGTAAGACCTCTTGGTAGGAGAACTGTGTTATTTGGATATTTTATCATAGTAATTTTCAAATTGAGACCATAGAGTTTCCGGTCATTTAACATTGATATAGCCTGAAAAAATGTAGTCTATTAGCTTTGCTCATGCTGTCAATATTACAAAATAAAAATACTAACAAAATTCGGTAAACATAGTCTAGCTTATCTACATATTTTCATGGTGATTGGTAAAATAATATCCAAATTTAACACCAACTAAAGAGAAGTTACTACAAAGTAGACAGCATACAATTTAATAAAAAACAAATAGAAAAAAATATTACTATACTGCAATCGAAATGAAACCATTAATCAATTAAATTACTACAAATTACTACATGTAAAGTTTGGTGCATACTGGCATTTAATACTACTTATACGTCGACCTGTTCTAATACGTACCTGTACGGCTTCCAAGGGGTGACTATACATAACATTGGCATATCTGGAATGAGCGTGAACAACGGTGCAGGAGACGACATGTCCCGCCAACTCCAATAACTCTTTCAATTCTGTCTTATCACACCTGAACTGTTGATAAAAAAATAAATCATAGCATAGAGAAAATATTGACTTTTAATAATTTACAGAGTTGATAATATTTATTAAAAAAAAAATATTAATAATAATCAGTCCTTGCTGTATATAAATGAATATGCTCAGGAGGAATGGTTCAATATGATACCCATAGCCACCTTCTAGCATTACACAGCTCGCCATCGATAGGAAGGTTACCGTCATATCTTACAACCTAGATGATCGCGTACAGCGTGGTTTCAGAGATGTTTTCTCCCACGAACACTCAGGTTATCGAATAAACTCCCTGTCGAGATTTTTCCAAAAAAACTACAGCATGGGTTTCTTCAAAAAAGGGATAAAGAGGTCCCTTCAAGGTCGGCAACACGCGCGTAATGCCTGTTATTACTTCTTTTGTGGTATTACAGTTTTCATATACTACGGTAACCGCTTACCACCAGGAAGGCCGTATGTATGTTTGCCACCTCAGTGGTATGAAAAAAATGTCGGTAACAGTTACCACTTTCCACTGGATGAGCCGTCAGCTTGTTTACCATTTAAATCGTAAAAAAACACGTAAAGAATCATTCAGTCTTCTTCAACCAATGTTGTGGATCTCAATACCCCAGGAACATTCCATTATCGAAGGATAACATGTAAGTTATATATTCAGGAAGAAAAAGAACGAGGCCGGTTCCAGAGAGGGACAAAGAATGGTAACCCTAGTGTTACATTAGTGTATACATTTTAAAGCCATATAATGGTACCAATAAGCAAGTGGTACGTTAAAATTCTAAATCCAAGTGAGTTGTTTTCATTATGCAAGTTAGAGTAGCAAATAATATAACACTTGATGAAAAAAAATAACCATTGATTACAGAAATTAACAATATACAGAATACATTACAGAATACTGTGACGGCTATGGTAACCATCATGCATTACAATGCTCATTTCATAACGGTCTAAACTAAAAATTAATATAAACGGAGTACCACAGGGAAGCATTTTAGGACCACTACTTTTCTTGCTTTATATTAATGATTTATCAGACTATGTTGAAAAAAAAATTGTCCTATTTGCTGACGACTGTATGCTTCTTTGTAAATGCAAGAATAAAGAAACCTTTCAAAACGATATTACTGCTGCATTAAATAGAGTAATACAGTTGTTAAATGTTAATAAATTAAAAATAAATTTAATAAAAACTAAAATCATTAACTTTAAAACATATTCAAGTCCTAAGCTAAGTATAAATGTTATACATTATGGAAATAAACTAAACTTAGTGGATACTACTACGTTTCTAGGTATTACCTTAGACATACATATCATTTAAATTGAAAGGCACATATCGACAGTGTATGCAAAAAAATAAATAAATTCGTTTACGCACTATACAAACTTCGGAAAATTTCTTCACTTCAGACTGCTCTTAACGAATATTATGGATTTGTATCGCCAGTACAACGTTATGGGTTGATTATATGGGGGAACTCATCCGAAATCGACAGTCTTCAAAGCACAAAAAAATGCATTTTTTTTATACGACTTAGAATAGCAAACAAGCTGACGGTCCACCTGATGGAAAGTAGTAACTGTCGCCTATAGACATGAGCAGTACCATGGAAACAACAGAGTATACTGTTTCGACCATGATACCTCCCATGCGTTGCCATTCCTGAGGACTCAGGTGTTATTCCTTTGTACCCTGTAAATTCACGCCATATCCCACCCTTCAAACCGAAACACAGCCATGCAAATACCGAAGCAAACGACTTTTGTACAAAGTCTTCCTCTGTTTAAGAAACTTGGTTTACTCACCTCACCTTGCTTATATATATTAGAAATCTGTATATTTGTAAAGCAATATCCTGATTTATTCACATGGGGATATAAAGGCACAAGTCAGTCAGGACACAGAGACAAAATAAACTACTTGTCCTAAAAAGTTCATTGACACTATATCAAAAAATCGTCTCATTTATGACACAAAAAATATTTAATAAGTTACCTTCTGACATTCAGGTATTGCCTCTGATTAAATTTAAAAAAGAGCTAACTAAATGCATTCTTTATGTCTTGAATATTAAGCGTGACATTTTAATTATTTTACCCCTACTATTGAAATTTTTCTATTTTATACATTTATTGTATTAGTTGTTATGTGTAGATATATGTATAAGTGACATGATGTACTATAATCTAGACTTTTAATATGTAAGGTCAATTTAAATAATATAATCAATTTATAATTTTGTTTACCACTTTTGTTTTATAAAATGAAAAATGTTTGCATGCCTACATCTCTTAAGGCAATTAAACAGGTGCCAAAATAATAACATGTGGCTCTTGTAATAATTTTAAACTGTTTAATGCAAATAAACTCATTTCTCATTTCTAATTACTGACTGAGGTGCTATGTTTCATAGCTTTTTTTATGCAATATAAAATGGAAAACAAACTGACGGCCCATCTACTGGAAAATGGTAACCATCACCTAAAGACACGAACAGCACCATAGACATCACAGAATATATTATGACTGGGTGTTATACCTCTGTAACCTGTAACACAGCCATAAAAGAACAACTGCTTCATAGCAGAAATACGAATGGGCCAGACATACATGATAAACAGATTACTTGTACGAAGTCTCACACTGGTAAAAATTACAAATAGAAACTAAGTGAATAGTCAAAATACTTACATTGTTAACATATACCCATTGAGTGAGAGGTGGTGTGATTTTTAAATGTTTCACATATTCTGGTTTCAAACCGTACAACTCCTGTGAATCTGCTTCTTGATTGGAACTACATGGTGTATCATTTGTACTTTTTTCTCTGTTAAAATAAATTATCAACTAATGGATATAGTAACAAAACACACACTGTACTCATTGACATATCAACTGTCCACTGGTGAAAATAGGCTTCCCCTTATTTGGGGGGGTTTTGCTAGTAGTTGCCATACTTGGCATATCAAACATATAGGAAACTTTAAGTGGATGAGAATAAATTATTCATATAAATCAAAAACATTACATATTTAGTACAAATAATTAAAGATTGTTTTTTACAAAAAAGAACAGAGTTCAATTGTGGTAAAACTAAATTATTAAATGGATTATGACAAAATTTCTATAGGATCAATGTATAAGTATATCCTTACAGATAAATAATTTTATCAAATCAGTATAGAACTGTAACAAGCATAAAAAAATACAACCAATTTAAGAATCTACTTCTTTGTGAAGTTGGTTGAAATTAAAATGCATACCACTAGTAATTTACTTGGAAAAAATATCATAATAATAATATTCCAAATGAAAATGTAGTATAAAAATTTGAAATGTACTTACTTATTTGGATATATTTTATATGTAAAAACAACTTACCTTTTTACAGGTGGCTCTTGTGCATTACGTTTGTGGTCACTGTCCGATACAATTTTATTACCTAAGTACAGATTAATCAATATTACTTAATTGGAAACACATTTGCTAAAACAACACATCTTTCATCATAAAAAAATATTATAGGATGAGCATAAGAGTAAAATAATTGCAAAAATCTGAAAATCAATTCAGAAATTGAGTTATTTACTCATCTGTGATAAACTGCACTTGCTTATGTATTTATGTTATAAATAACTAAAACCTGATACTAAATCTTAGTAACAGAATAAGATTTTGAAATTTAAAATTGTATTTGTTATGATGTGCCAACTGAGCTAGCTCCATTCTCACCTATAAATGTTTACTAGAACATTAGAGACACAGATAAGGTTCACCATTTAATTATTATAAAACACTGAAACAACATGTCATTATTGGGGGGAAGAGATTATTAGTAATCAGTACTACCAGTCCCGTTGCTAGCAATAAACCCTGTTAAGTTGACTTTCATGTGGTCCCCCTGGAAACGATAGTGCTAACTTCCAGGTGTATTCATAATAAGCTTACTGACCTGCTTTTTCATTCACACCTATCATCACTTACTAATACCCTGCAAGCACATACCAACATTGCTGGCGGAGTTACATTATCATCCAATAAAACATTATATGATACAAAATATTTGGCGCAAAAATGATGTGCATTTTAAAAGTAAATATAATATTTTTTCTGTAATATTACTATTTCATAAATTAAATATTATGAGGCCTAAATATATTTAATCTCATTTTTTCCACTTGATTTTTACTACTAATTTTAGGGTAATACAAATAACTTAATTCTTACAATTATTTTAAATGTGAAAGTGAGTTTTTTGTTTCCTTATAGCACCTGATGGCTTAACCAGGGGGAGAGAAGGAATTAGTAGTAATGGGAATTAACAATCCTATTACTAGCAATATTCCCTATAAAATCAACATTCACATGATTCCTCATAGAAACTATTGTGATTGATTAATTTTTTAATTACTCACAATAGGCCCACTGACCTGCTTCATCCTCACCTATCATCACTCACAGATGCCCCACTAATTTATACTGTTAGCACAGGCAGGGTTACCATTCCATTACCATCCATTAAAAAATAATGGCTTAACCAATTACTATGAAATTTGATATACAAATAATCGCTCGTAAAAACTAGTAAAGTATATTATGATTAAGATATAATTACTCCTACGTCTTTTTCTTGACCCCTCATAAGTATTTGGAGATAACTGTATATGATCCATTTCGTTATCATCAGTTCTACTGGCATTTACTCTAGGTTTGTTTGAGTTATAAATACTGTCACTATTATCACTTAAATCCGTATTTTCGGTGACTCCACAATCGTCGTGTTTGTTATTCCGCTTGTTTGAAGTCATATTTTAGTTTTGGTTGTAAGTGCTATTTCATCACTGTTTTAAGTCCTCGACAAGTATAAAATAAATATTATTTAGGACACTAGTTTTCATATGTAATTATCAAACATTCATAATCAACATAAAACACTATGAAAACACAATGTAAACATAAACAAAAACCCTTCATATAAAAAACAGAATGACAGAACAATAAGAAAGTGTACTGCGCAACGCAAAACTTGTCATTTCAAACAAAAACCGTAGTATAAAATCTATGGAATCAGTGCATTAAATTTAGAATATAAATGTTACGTTATAAAGGAAATAAGTCTTTAAGGCGACATATCGATGCAAATATTTTTAGGATAAACGTATTATATTAAAAATTTATAATTTGTTTTGTTTTGACACTTCGAAATTAACGTATAGGTTTATTTACCAGTTTTATTTTTTTTTCTAGTACATTTGTTCCGTTGTGGAACAGGCTAAGGTCGGAGACCATGCTGCCTTTACTAGTTTTATTAACATAGTGTCAATGAATACTAAAATTATTGACTTTGACTACTGCATATTTGACTTTAACCACAGAGTTACAGTATATAGTATACTGTGACATATTAAATTGGACGTTTACAAACTTTTCAAAAGGCAGAAGCATTTTTATATGTTTATCCCTCTCTAATGCATAGACAACGTCATAAATACAACGAGCAACACACTATATTAATTAACTATGCTCCATCTATTGAATGCTTTGACTTTATCTGTCTTTAAAAAAAAACAAAGAAAATATTCTATCTTTGGTCTGAGTTGATATGATATTTGAAACCATCGATAATTTCTATAATTGAGATAAATCATTGAGAATGCTGAAATTTGCTCATATTTCCATAGTTCTGCCTCTGTACAGCATATGGAAATAGAATGTAATATGGAAAAAAACTAAAAATGCTATTATAAATTAGTATTGTATTTTATTACTAATAATATAATAATAATAACTTTATTTCTAGATTGTAACTAATGCTTTTTTTCCCAGAAAAATAGAATTTTTTTTTTTTTACAACACAGGGGGCAAACGAGCATGCGGCTCACCTGATGGTAAGTGACTACCGCCGCCCATGGTCACCCACAACACCTACGGCATTGCAGGTGTGCTGCCGGCCTTTTAAAAAGGAATATGCTCTTTTCTTGAAGGTTATGTTAATCCATTACTCGATTAAAAAACAATAGTACCATGTATAATGTAACAATTATATAAACAATTTAGGTGCTTATATTTTTTCAAACTTTCCTTTTCTTTACATGGATAAATCTGTCATGGAGACCTCACGCTCTGGGGGAAACATAATTGATATTACTTACTAAATTCAACAGTGTTCCGCCTCTTCGCCGTAGTGCCTGAGCCACGGGTTTACTTTCACACTCTACTACCATCCTGTCAGCATTTCTAACTTTCCTAACAAGTGCAGCGAGAAAAGCAATTTTTTTCATTCAGGCATGCAGTAACATTCACATATCTATTATACTAGATAATAACGCGTTCATCTATCATAGTTGGATTTTTTTAAATTCATGACACGTTGGAAAAAGTATTCATTTTTACTTGATAAACATGAACAATAACACAAACTTCTTAGAATTTAGACAGATGCTTATAAAACACTCATGCGTTCCTTTCATAGACGTACTACTCCACAGGACTGCGGTCTTATATTTACAGAACATATATTTTACTAAATTTAAATCGGAATATATTTCGGTTAAGATTCCGGTATCCAGTATAATTGTTGTAAGATCATATCACTAGTGTATATGGGACATCACTAGAGGTGGATACTGATTGGTTGGTTAAATAGTATTATAGTATAATAATGTCTGAATTTTGAATAAAGGATCTGCAATAATTAAATAAACCGTCTATTATTAAAAGATCATAAAAATATAACAATAATATTGTAGCACATAAACGTAGAAAAAATTACTCAGATGACTTAATATATACCTCTATGTCTAAATTAAAACTAATATTATAAAGAGGAAATATTTATATTTTTATTTGTAATGAATAGATAAACTAAAAAAATATTTAGGTAACAGATTTAAAAAAAATTTTCACCTTCATGATAGACAGCCTATATAAAAATAATATCAGCCTATAATAAATGTTGTATTTTATTTTTTAAATTGTGCAAAGTAGAGCCACATCGCTAATAAAATATAAGCTTAGCTTATATACTTAAATTATATATATATATATATATATATATATATATATATATATATATATATATATATATATATATATATATATAATAAGTAAGTAATAAAGGTTATAGTGCCTAAAATAATTCAATTAATAGATTAAAAACATTACTTCACTTTTATACAAGTTTGTATAGATAGCTATAAAACTTTTACCTGCTTTTTCAATCAGAGTCTAGGTTTTAGCAATGGAAAATCTAACGTAGCGTAGGATATTAAAAAACTTTTTGAAGGTAAGTAATGGATCTTATTTCAGTTAGGCAACACTATTGTAGCATTAGTTTATTGTGAAAATTCTGAGATATTCCTAATTTCTTATTCGTGATAGCGATCAAAATAAATAAATGAAAATATAAATTTAAACAGTAGGTAGCTTAATTAAGAGTTACATAAAACGATTCAAGGTACGGTTGAGTATGGCTTGTATTCAAATATCCGGATTATTATGGAATGCCCCTTTCCTTTTTTTTTTACAAAAGTTCGCTTTTAATCATAGACAAGTTCTATTTTCTTTTATTTTATTTTTTCTCAAGTTTAATAATTTATATGGAAGTCATTATAACTTTTGAAATAACAACGAAAAGGAAAATAAATATTCAAACTTGTAGAATAAAAACATGTTATATATCAAATAAGGAATAACACAAATTGTTACTTTTTTATTGTAAATTAAATATTACAACTGATGACAGACTATGTGTCAGTACCCTACATAATAATAGCTTTTTCTCAAACATGCTTGGAAATGTGAGCATTATTTTGACAACTTTCTTAGACATAAATCAAAATTGCCGTACTAGCCAGATACATGTGGGCAGCGGGCCTTTTAGTTCGAAACATGGCTACCAAGGAGGTAACTAATAAAAGGTTTCATTTAAATTTCGAACTGGCTTGCAAATAGAAACCTGTTTATTGAAAAAAAAACAAAGGAACATTATGGTGCGTGAAAAATTATTATTGTTCGTTATTCATCATTGAACTTAAAAAGTAAAATTGTGTTTCTGATTTTCGCGCATTGATTGAGAAAAGTACTATACAAGCCTTGGCCACAACTAAGCATTGATGGACTCACATATGTGTGCTTTGGCTACGCCTCGGCTCACATTTGCATGTTCGTCCATCAATGCCTCACTTGCTGGCCGCTGCAGTAATGTACTATTTCCATAAAAAGTTATAACAGTTTGTTTAATTTAGTTTCATGGCAAACAAGCTTACGGCCCACCTGATGAAAGTGGTAACCGTCGCCTATAGACATGAGCAGTACCATGGACATAACAGAGTATACTGTTTCGCGCATGATATCCCCCATGCGTTGCCATTCCTGAGGACTCAAGTGTTATTCCTCTGTACCCTGTAAATTCACACCATATCCCACCCTTCAAACCGAAACACAGCCATGCAGACACAACTGCTTTACGGTTGGAACACGAATGGAACAGAGGTACCTATCGGTAAGCAATCGACTTGTGTACAAAGTCTCCCTCTGGTAAAATGTTTGATGGAGAAATAGCTCTTTTTCCAAATTGAAAATTAACACTTCTAGAAATGTACTTTCAATTGACTGACTGAAAGCTATGAAAATTTGCTGAACGAGTTGAAAACCATATGCCGATCAGATTACGAAATGTGTGATGGGGAACTGTGTTAAGTGCTCAGTAAGCCCCTTGGTTTATCATGCAGTTAGTATTTTAAACCAAGGAGCTTACTTTAAAGGTGACAGTATAAATTATCCTGATAATACGAGTATAATAAATGTAATTGTAACAATGGATGAATGGACGAAAGTTTGTTACTCGTTGACGGAAAAACTACTGAACGGTTTTGAATGAAATTTAATACACAGGTAGGTTATATTAGCTAATAAGATCCTTTATACGCTGATTCAGGAAGAAAAAGCACAGGTTACAGCTAATGAGGAATAAATTTATGTTTTAATCATAATATTATCTGTAATTTTACAAAATATCCAAACTAGACCATATATTATATTTACATTGTAAAGAATTGGCAGCGTGCGCGTGATATCCCTGGTGTTACAGACATCCATAGGCTACTGTAACCTCATTTACCACCTTGTTTGTCACAAAGTAGTATAAAAAATATTAAATAACACACATTTTCACGAATAAAAAATCACAAGTATTGAATTTTCATCGCTTTTATCCATAAAGGTTTGAATTGTCAAAAATAACTTCCTCATGGACACTACAATATAATATTTGAAATAATAATGGGCAACGTTATTATTAAAGACAAACAATGAGTGGGTATAATGAATAATACAATATCCAACACGTATTTATTTTTGTCCGACACAAATCCGCACAAACCTTAGATGCACAAACGTTATTTGTCGCGAATTCGCCATCCGGAAATTAATTTCCTCTCGAAGAACAGCCTTCACAATATCATGAGGCAAAGTGTTTTGTTTTGTTTATATTGGGTTTGCTGCGTACCGGGAGTCGACTGGATTCTTTAATAATGCTATTTAACTAACGCAGATGAATATTTTTTATAATTCTGTAATATCATTACAATTTATTAAATTGATTTTCAGGTGAGCCGCATGCCCGTTTGTCTATTGTATAATAAAAACAAAAAAAAAATTGTAAGTGTATTACTCTCAAACACACGTCAGCTAACATACTCTAATATTTCTCGTCTACGTTTCAATAAACATTGAAATGAATTTTTACGAAATATGAAAAGCATAACGTTACAACAATCAACATTATACAATACATCAAAGCGCGCGCTTTTCCCGCTATGTATTATTATATATAGTAACTTACTACACATGAATATACATTTTTTTTAATGGGTGATAATAGTATGATAACACCGCCTGCGCTATCGGTATACACTTTCGGGCACCACGGGTAGATGACAGATAAGGACGAAAGCAGGTCAATTAGCCCATCCTGACGAATTTAAGTAGAATTAACTACGATGATTTCCAGGGGGAACCACGTGGAGGTTAACCTGAAAGGATACATTGCTAGTCATTACTATTATATTAGCCCATTGGTCCATTTGACCCCATTACTAACAATCCCTTTCCCCCCGACACGCATGTACATTACATTGTTACATGTACAGACATTACTTATTTCTGTAGTTGTGATAATTATGAATCGTAACGTTTTGTATTAAGCGACCGGGGTGTGGTATTAGGAAGAAATTTTTTTTTTTTAAAGAATATTTCAGTGTTGTACCTTCTTACTCATATAATAAAATTATAAGAAATATTTGAAGTCCTCCATTATGGAGTCGATATCCGGTTGGATTAATTTACAAAATAAAATTTACGGTAATTCTGAGTAAAAAATTTACATTCTAAGTGTCCGCTTGATTAACAAATGATCTGAAGATGAAACTCAGATGCTGCACACCTAAGATATGTCAGAGTTAAGAAAAGACGGACCTGAGTGTAGTGTTGTGGGTATTTATGTAATATATATTATAAATAAATAACTATATCTTATTTCTGAAAACAGCGAATAGCGATCTCAGAAAAAATGTAAAAAAAAAAATATCGAAGGAAATGAAAGGCACTTTGTATTTATGCGTTGACGATATCTCGGGGTGAATACTTCAGAAATGTCGCTCTTTGAAGGGTAGTAATTCTTGACAAAATGATAATGAAATCTTTTCAAGTCCCTTCTGTCCGTTGGAATAAGGAAATGTGAATTAGAGAGCTTGTAATTAACAATGTTTGAAGTATATAGACATTAGAGGGCGACAATTTAATCGCATTTACATTGTTTTAGTTATAATTAATCAGTTATTTATTTATTAACATTGATATTAATACTTTTTTAACTCAAATTTAAAAATTTACATAGTAAGTACATTTTTATTATAAACCAATTTTTTTGCCTACGACGTATTCACCAGGAATATGTAGAACACAAATAAAAGTTTAACTATTGCTCGAGAAAGCCAGAAATTGATTACTAGTTGTAAGAGATTATTGGATTATTAATTTATATGACCGGGTCTTTTTTAATGGGTGATAATGGAATGGTAAAACTGCCCGCACTATTGGTATACACCAACAGGGCACCAGTGGAAGATGATAGGTGAAAATGAATGCAGATCATTTGGTACACCATGACGAATTCGATAAGAAATAACCATGATTTTTCGATCATTTCCGCATGAAGGCCGACCTGAGAGGGTATATTGCTAGCAATGAGGCTATTAGAACTCATTACTAGCAATCCCTTTTACCCTTCACTGATTGGGTCATACCCTATCAAGTCGACTTCCACGCGGTTCCCCCTGAAAACTTATTGTAGTTAATTATTGTTAAATTCATCCCTTCCAAACTAGTGCCCTGATACTGGCGCCATAATACACCCATAGCGCAGGCGGGGTTACTATTTCATTTTCACACGTTAAAATATGTCTAAAACAAGTATGTCTATTGAAAACGTTTTACGACGTAAGTACTTATGAATGAGCACAATGTCGTCATTACCAATACTCGGTTTTCACAGCTCAACTTCACATATACACTCCGAACGGAACACTTATCGGGCTCTGATTCCGAAGGCATTCCAACGATATTTATGTCATAAAAAACCACCCATAAAGATGCGAGAGACCGACTGATACAATCTTCTTAAAAGCTTTTTACCGTTCCTCGACCCCACATATTGCTCTTGGAAAAATATCGTTAAAAAACGTAAATGCGAAATAATACTAAGTCTTACTCTTACTTGTATATGCACATACAGTGATTATTTGAAATATTAACATTCCCATATATATACTACACTATAACAACCCACTGGAACCCCACTACTGGACGAGAACTAAAAATATTTGTGGCCAATGGAAATTCTATAAAATGTTTTTTTTTTTATTATATTCTCTTCCATATTACATTTTCTTTAGCTACAGACATATCACAATAATACTAATAATACACGAATTATATCACATTTTAAAAATTATTTGAAATATTTGCTTAGTTAGATGGCGCTATTTTATCCAATGATTATAAATTTGTTTATTCGATTTATTCACTAATCTGCGCTTAATGTCGACGATCTTAGACTTGGCTACAATACTACACAATATCTCAAATTGTCTGTGTACGCGCACAATATAAAACATTTTGAGAGACAAAATATTCGACGTTTGAAAGACAGGACATGCCCAAAAACGGTCCAATAAATCGTTGCTAATGTTAGGATTCTACTTATAGCTCCGTATTTTCATTAAGATATTGGACGGGGACAGATTTCTTCGAAGAAGTGGAAAAATATTTCGCCATTATTTATGAACATAGAGAAAGAATTGTGCCTGTCTTTTTTTTATGGTATAAAAAGGGTATGGCAACACCGTTTGTACTATCGTTATACACTAGCAGAACACCAGTGAAGGATGATAAATGAGGATGAAATTAGGTGTCTGCTCATCGTGATTAATTCATCAAGAATTAACCACAATGGTTTTCAGGGAGAACCGCGTAAACATCGACCTAATAACATATATTGCTAGAAATGGGATCATTAATTCCTTTTACTATCTCTTCCCTTCCCTTCCTCCCCCAATAGTATCTGTCTATCACTATTTATTTAGGTTCGTAAAACATTGATTATCCGGTAGAATAGTAGTTGTTTCAAATTAATTTTGGGAGTAGGCAACTAGCTCGAGTAACCATTAAACGATATAGTAGAACGGTTCTCGAGGAGGAGGCCTGTAAAAGAAAATGTAATGCAAGATGACTAAATAATTTAAAATGATAAACTCAAAAATATTCCAGGGAATCGAATAAAAACAAATAGTTCGAGAGCATACCTACTTATTGTTTACTAAGTAGTAATACGACTATTAATAATAAGGACTATGTTCTCTTTATTTGAAAACAATGCGAACTGAGTTTCTTGTCAGTTCTTCTCATCTCGAAATCATTCCGAACTGACGGTAGATTTGATATACTCGTATTTAAGAATCTGTAATAGACCTACATGAATAAAGATATTTTGAATTTGAATTATGAATTTATTCTGATTGATTACTAATTAGTAAAATTATTCGAATACAGAAATTAGTATATTACTAATTTAGTAGTCGAATTATAATATTAATAATTACTAATTATTCGATTATTGTTTATTGTAACAAAATCATTCGGATGCACCCACCGCTAAAACCTACGTATCCCTTAATCTAATGTTTGATAGTATCGCGAAATCACAATTTTAAGAGCCATCATAAACCAACACAAATTTATAATAATGTGGTTACCTCATAACTCCAACAATTCTAAACCGAATTGGAAAATTCTTTTATTATCTAATATATTTATAGATTGATCCTACAGAAATTTTATAAAAATCGGTTTAGTAGTTCAGTTATTAAATCAAAATAACTGGTATAAAAAAAAAAACCTACTTCAATTGTGATAACACAATTGAAGTTTGTTTTTTTGTGCAACACAATCTTTACTTATTCATAAAGTACTTAAATTTATTAGAAATTTAGTTCATGTTGGTCTTCAGATACATAGTTGTTGTGGTATCAAATTTAAATTTAAATTTTAGAGATAGGTTTAAACATGGAGTTAATATAACCTACTACGTACCAATATATTTAATTTAAGGGTTCAAATGTCTCCTCAAAATGGATCACATTAAATGTTGTATAATTTACGACTACCTAACTTATTTAATATCTCTGATTACTTATTGCAACTGTTTGTTTTTATCAAAAATCACCATAGTCTCTCACTTTCTACATAAGTACTTTAGATTATATAGATAGAGTTTCTCCGTACAAGTGCTTTGAAAAAAGCGAGTCAACATTTTTATTTTCTGTTGCGTGATACGAGACCAATTTTCGTGCATTCGAATCAAACACGAATTCGAGAAAAAATTCTAATTCGAACATTTTTCGAGCGAAAATCAAGTTACGTTATTCTGGGTATGTCAAATCCGATATTTCTCGAGGGAAAGCCGATCAAATAATATTCTAAGGAAGAATTACCTTACATTATTATTACAGTATAAAACATTTAATCATCTTATTATCATTAAATGCAAGACGTAAATGATTCCACAATTTAAAAATAATTCAATTGTTAATGAAAAAATTCACCTCATATCGAAAATTTTTATTCGATTGTGGGAATTTTTTTTTCGAATACTCGCGTCGCTAAAAAATTGGCGCGAATCCTTTAAAAAAATATATAAATATTTGTAATTGTATTTGTCTTTAAGATTGAAGATATCTGTAATGACTCCTTTATTAGTTCAATTTATTGTCTTATAATTTTTGCACCTTTTTAATGTGCAAAAACTTATTTTATTTATAAAATAATTAATTATAGATACTTCAAGATACGTCATATATGTAAATAATAAACACTAATAACAAAAAAAACAATAAACTAATTTAACAATAACCTGACAAAAAGTTGACCGACTTTTAATATTCAATGCTCTATCTATATATTTTACGCAGATACCTTATCACTATCTCTGGTAGCATTATTCTTATTCTATGTTTTATGAACATTGACAAGACAGGAAGGTTCATGACATTTACATTTTGTTTGTTGACTGACATGTTGCTTGATTTCACAACTCAAATCAGTCAGTCAAATTCTATTCTGATTTACTATAAAATATTTTAAAAATTAAAAAAGCATATTTATATTTTTTGCGTGTTACACAAAATTTTCCAGAAACAATTTCAATAATTAAAAATGTCTAATAACGAAGTATTATACGTTAAGGGAATGAACGTTGTAAGTGTTTAATTGGTTTTGTTTAAACAAAAGTTTATCTTCGCTTTACAATACTTTATACAACTTCACTTTAAGTATGTATGATTTTGTTGCTCCGTATAGTCCCGACATAGAGTAGACCACGCCTTCCTTTCCTGTAAGTGTCATAAGAGGCGACTCGAGGAACTTAATGATAGAGGGATGGGCAGCAGCGTCCTTCTTAAAACATCTCTAAAAGCCTAACTGCGGTAGCGGACGCACCTGCCAAACATGGCAACTACTGGCAAAACTCCCCTTATGGGGAAGGCTTATGTTCAGCAGTAGACAGTTAACAGCTAAATTTGTGATATATGATATTAATTGTTACAGTCAGAATCTGATGGTGATGATGATGAACAAGACATCTGGGATGACAGAAAGCTCAACGATGCATATGATAAAGCCTTACGAATCGCCAATGCAGAAGTAGCCAAGAGAATTGCAATGTCTACAAATACACAACGGAAAAATAGTGGTAGGTAATTATTTTAAATTTGAGTATAATGTAAATTTATTTGAATTACTTACAACACACAAATAACAACAGACATACACAGTAAAGAGGTAAAATAATATTATTGTCCATTTCAAAACCATTAATGGAGGGGAAATGTAAATCTTAATAAAGTCGCCCTGCTGATCCATTACTAGCAATGTACATTATTGTATCAACCTTCATACTGTCTATTGAATCCTAATTAATTTTTGAAGAATTTGGCACAATAAACTTATCCCACTAACAATAAATGCAAGCAGGGTTACAGTAACATTTTTATCCATTTAACATTATTGCTGTTAATTTTCTCAACATCATCATTTATTGTTAATCAAGTATTGCAAGTGATGATGGACTATATATTAATACCATACATAATTATAGCTATTTCCATAAAAAGTTATAAAATTGAGGGTAGTTCTAGAAAGACACTAACACAGAATTATTGATATACAACACAAGTGTTTCATTTTTTTTAATTTTATATTGGATGTAGTGTGCTCATGTCTTATAATCATATCTTAGGACATCCTGGGGATAACAAAAATGGTGAGAAATATCTCAAAAAGAAAATAGAGTAATAAATTGAGTAAGAATTACTCATAAGTATTTAGGTCATAACTTTTAACAATACCTTTTTACAATAAAATTGTGTTATTCTAACAAAAACCGTCCTGCTATAGAATGTTCCTTCCTATTTTGAGGTTGTGGTAAAAGCCAACAAAGCATGGCAACTACTGGCAAAACCCCCCCAAGGAGAAGGCTTATGTTCACCAGTGTACTGTTAACAACTGATATGATGATTATATGATGATTCTAACATAATGTAACAGAATAACACTAGTGTCTATAATTTTTGTTCATTTTTAGTGGTTTTTTCATTATTAGATGACCTGGCCAACATTGATTTTGCACCCTACTACTATCTACTGGATACATTTTATTATCAGGTTAAACTATCCTCTCTCAAATTGGAGCATACAGTGCACATTTATACAATTTCACTAAAATTGGTCAAGGTTTCAGAGATTACCATGCATATTGACATATTGACATGGGATTTTTATATATTTAATATGTGATTGTTGTATTTATAATATTTAAACTTTTGTTCATATTTTAATTTTCAGGTCAGCCTGATGACAAAAAAGAGAAAATTTTTGCAAAGCCAAGTTTGTCAAAGGGTAAAAAAAAGGAATCAAATACAAAATGGAAATCAGGAATGCATTGCAGAGCAGTGTATGAAGAGGATGGATGTGAATATGAAGCCTTCATATTGACAATATTAAATGAAAAAGAATGTGTTGTAAGATTTTTAGGTAAACATAACTTCTTTTTCATAAAATTAACTAAAATAGATAGACTAATAGTATCATATTTTACCTGTATAAGTGCTCTGTCTCCTAATATAGCTTGTGAAAGAGACAAAATCCTATTTAAAATATTTGTACTGTTGTTATCAAGGTTTTTTTTAATGAATGATGATGGAATGGTAACCCCACCTGTGCTATCGTTATACACTAGGTATATAGGTATATAGGTAGGATCCAGTGAGGGATAATAAGTAAAAATGAAGCAGGTCAGTTAGTTCATCGTGACAAATTCACCAATGGATCAGCCACAATGGTTTCCAGGGAGAACCACAGGGAGATTGACCTGCTAGGATATATTGCTAGTAATATCATTGTTGGTCCTCATACTAACAATCCCTTTTCCTTCCTGTTATCCAGGTTATGAGAATTCAGAAATTGTGCCTATAAGTACATTAAAGCCGACCTTAGGTAAGAATGAGAGGACTAAGCAGATTGAGGAGGCGCTACAAGATAAAGTCGAAAATCCTTATGCAAGTACATCAGAGCCTGATCAAATGGAGTTAGGGACTAGCAGAGATGAAGGCACTTCAAATCCTGACCTCACACAAGAAGGTAGAGCAATCATATCGTCATAGTCGTAAAATACTGACGGATCTGACAAAGATTACATATAAAGATCTGTCAGTATTCTACGACTATGACGATATATTTATTTACTAAATGCCTCTAATCACTCCATTATGGATGTGATCATTTATTATATTATTTATTAGTTTGTATCCAGCACTTTGTTCATGATCCCGGCATAGAATAAGCCACCCCTTCCTTTCCTGTGGGTGTCGTAAGAGGTGACTAAGGGAGGGTGTGGGATGGACAGCAGCGTTCCTCTTAAAACATATCTAAAACCTGTGGTTGCCAACCCGCCTGCCAAGCGTGGCAACTATTGGCAAAACCCCCAAGGGGGAGAGGGGGAGGCTTATATTTAGCAGTGGACAGTTAAAGGCTGATATGATGGTAACTTTGTTCATGTGACAGGAATTTGTTCTTAAATATTAGTGTTATTACCACATAAACTAATATATAAGTTGACCTTTAAGAAATTAATACAAAAGAAAAAGATGGAATGCTCCGGTAACTAAAAAATGTTTTTTAAGCATAAAGTTTTTTTATTAATAATTAAATATTATTTTTACAGAAAGATCATTCAGTAGAAAACAGAAAGCAAAAAAGAAAAAGAATAATCAAAATAAGTATATCAATGGGTTTGAACTCCCAGAACTGCCACTGCCGGTGCCTAATTTGACGATGTTATCGAATGTAAGTTATCTTTATATTCACTAGTTTATCTATACTAATATTATAAATGAGAAAAGATTTTTTTTTTTATACAACTTAGAATGGCAAACAAGCTGACGGCCCACCTGATAGAAAGTGGTAACCGTCGCCTATAGACATGAGCAGTACCATGGACATAACAGAGTATACTGTTTCGCCCATGATACCCCCCATGCGTTGCCATTTCTGAGGACTCAGGTGTTATTCCTCTGTACCCAGTAAATTCATGCAATATCCCACCCTTCAAACCGAAACACAGCCATGCAAACACAACTACTTCACGGTTGTCTAGTTACAATTTTAGTATATTGGTAATATTATTTAACGTCTATATGAACTGTAATTACTTTTTAACCGACTTCGAAAAGAAGCAGGTTCTCAATTTGATTGTATTTTTTTCATGTTTGTTACCTTCATCTTGTTATGTTGTTTATAACTTTGTTAGTTGGGGGGGAAAGGGATTGTTATCAATGGAGTTTGACAGCCCCATTGCTAACAATATGCCTTATTAGGTCAACCTCCACGTGGTTCCCCCTGGAAACCATCGAGAACAATTCTTGTTGAATTCGCCACGATGGGCTAACTGACCTACTTCATCCTCACCTATCATCCTTCACTGGTGCTTGTCCGGTGTATACTGATAGCGCGGGGGTTATCATCTATTAAAAAAAAAGAATTTTGTTAGTTGTAAACCGATTTGGATAACTATTTTTTTATATGAAAGGATACTTACAGATTGTTCCCATAGAAATTCTATCAAATTCGGTACAATAGGTTAGTTTTTAAATCTACTAAATAACTGTTTATTGTGGAATACAATTTTAAATATCAGTAGACTAATAACTTGTTTACCATTTCGAGTTGTAAAAAAATATTAATCTGAGTTTTCTTTAATTCCACAGCATGGTTCAAACGATATGCCGTTGCCTCCCCCGCCACCACTAGGTTTCCAATCGTCAAACAGAAGTGATTCCGAAGATCAGGCAATATCTTCAATGCTGCTTAGTTGGTACATGAGCGGATATTACACAGGGCTCTATCAGGGCCTTAAAAGGTTTGTTTGCTTTTTTTTTTATACAACTTAGAGTGGCAAACAAGCTGTCGGTCCACCTGATGGAAAGTGGTAACCGTCGCCTATAGACATGAGCAGTAGCATGAACATAAAAGAGTATACTGTTACATCCATGATATGCCATTCCCCCCATTCCCCCAAACACAACTGCTTCACGGTAGAAACACGAATGGGTCAGAGCCACCCAAGCAATCGACTTTTGTACAAAGTCTCCCTCTGATTCTGTATGGCCGGTAGAGTAAAAAAAAATTACTATTAAAAAATGCTTAAATTTATTTGAATAAAAATATTTTTCTTCTTTCCTTTTTAAACAAATTCCAAAAGTAAATTCTCAATTTGTCTGACTTTTTATTATGTATTATTAAGTATGACTGTATTTTAAAGAGTGGGATATGAGAACGAAAGTTCTGGATAGTGTAATTGTAGTTATAATAGAAAGCAACATATGGGTGTTACTTCTGGTGTTGCAAGACTTCATGGGTTATTAACATACTATCAGGTGAATCATATGCTTTATTGCCACTCTTGTTACATAAAAAAGTCGCTTTTATGGTAGGCAGAGGAATTATTAGGTATCTGATGTGTATCTATATTTTCTTTCCAGAGCTCGAGATGGCAGAAGAAATCCCTAACAAACAATATTGTGTAGGAAATAAAAAAAAATACGTGTTTTAAATAATTTTTATTTTATTTTTAGACTCACATAAATTGAACAAATAAAAATAGAAATGTGGCTATTATGTAAACAATAAATAAAATTATGCCTCCAGTTTCCTGTGTATACTATGTACAAAATTTACATTTTGATACATTAATGATTTTTTCGTTGCATACTCGGACCAAGAAAAAAGTATAAATAATACTATGGAATTACAGATTCTGAAAAATATTAGCATTTTTCAGTAAGTATTTTATTAAAGTTTCAAAGTTGCTTCAGAATATCCTTGATATTTAAAATTTTATGCTGGCAATACCTTTACAAAAAAAATTAGACAAGCATAGATTAAAAATAGAACAATGACAAGTGCTGATGTGTGCATGATGACGAATACATAAGATAGTGTATTTATTTTGATTATATATGATATCGAAAATTGTACGATTTAACTATTTTTATAATATGATATCTAGTTTATACTTTTTTATTGGTCTGAAGTCGCATTGTTAATATTCTATCACTGATTGGTGGGTTCACATTTTTATTACTAAAGTTACATATCGTTCTTCAACAGGCAGTTTGCATGCGTAGTGTCGTCTTTGTCCCTCTCATTACTATATATAATGAACGACAGAGATAGAAATGTATATATATTAATGTTTCTTGAAAATGCTCAATATTATTAATTCGAGTAATAAATTTTAAATAAAATTGTTTTTCTTTTAATTATATAACACTAATATACATTCCGTATTTTGATATATACATATTTTATATGTCAAAATATGTATTATATACATTATATAAATATTCTCAATTTAGGTTGAAATAACACTATGAGACATTTCACAAAAAAAAAAAAAAACTATTTTTTAATGTGACTATTGAGTTTGTTCTAGTTTTTTTAATAGATTAAAAAAAATAAACCTATCATAACGTCAATATACTCAGCTCAATTATAAACTGAATATAATTATTGCTATTAAAAATCGATTCCAAAGAGTTAAATCTACTAAATTTATAGTGCTAAACATTAACAAAAAAAAAAAAAGACAGAAATAATACAAACTTTTTTAACTAAAGTTAAAATAATAGACACGACAAACATGGTGGCTGCTGCAATAGAGAAATAAAAATTGTAATCAACCCGACATTATTTTAATAGTAGTTACAAAAAATCATTAAAAGAAATTCATAAAAATGTACAAGATTGAAATAAATGCCAATGAGTCCTGCGTGTTATTTTAATATTATCTGTGTAATAAGACAATTGAAATATATTGTATTTCTATATTATTAATCTACGCATGGCAAATTCTGGCAACACAAACATAGTCTAGTAATACTATTTACAATTACCACAATACGTATATACTTGTAATTCTTGAAAACTTTCAACAACAAAAAATGCACAAATTATTCAAGTTTTTCCATGAAATTAAAACGAAATAAGGTGGCATTTAAAAATGTTATGAGAAATAATATTGAATTGTCAATGATTTTAAAAAATTGCTAGATTAAAAAAAAACAAATTAAAGTAGGTATTTTCAATCAGAATAATTTTCCAGATACATTTTCGTAGATAATCTGCTTATTATAATTTCAAACATCACTTGAGATTTCAGAGCAATTTCCTGTGTGAATGAGTTACACAATTATAGAAATAGCAATTGTGAATTTCTCCAAAATTATTTCAAATGCAACTAATAACAGCTTAGGATATAAAATGAAATTGACTTAAAGTTGAGTATTGTACAATTTCTGTAATGTCACATATACTATTAAATAGTGGTATCGAACATACTCGTTCGATATTTAAAAAAAAAAAAAACATTAAATTTATTTAAACACACGTAATTGGAAACAATTCCTTTCAGATCCTAATATTGACAAGTTTGGTATGCTAAATTCACCTCTAATGGCTTAAAAATAACATCCATAATGCAGATACGTATCGACCGAGCGAACACACTAGCGTACTGAGTTAACGCGTGTCATAACAGCGAACGGTGAGCGAGCTAAAACATGTCATTCAGATCCTAATTTCGTCAAATTTATCGTTCTAAATTCGATTTAATGTCTCGGTAATAAAGTCCATACGCAACCGTCGAACAGTCAGACGAGCGTGCTGAGCTCGTGTGTGTCATGACTGAGGTCGACAGCAGGCGGGCTGCCCGGCGTCGCAGCACCCTCGCCCGGCGGCGTACTCGTCGGTGGCCTGTCGACAGGTAGCACAGTATAAAGATATGGTAAATAAGGTTGGGATATTGCAGTGAAATTACAATGCACAGGGGGAGGATAGAAATTGTAGGTAACAACGCCTATTAGTTTCATTTAGAGCAAACTTAAAGGGATGGACAGCAGCGTTCGTCTTGAAACATCACCAAAGCGGTTTGCGGTTGCCAATCCGCCTGTCAAGCGTGGCAACTACTGGCAAAACACCCTTCCTGAGGGAGGCTTATGTTCAATAGTGGACAGTTAACGGCTTATTAATGATGATAATGATAGCAGATCTGACTTCATTCCCACTTATCATCATTCAAGCGGATTATCAGCCCTCAGCATATACTAAAAGCGGAGATTATCACTTGCTCTATTGGTATATAGAAGCACGCCTTAGTTCTGTGGGGTATCGTGGTCATCACAGTGTATTCTGTGACATCCATGATACTGTTGGTGTCTATTGGTGGCAATTACTTCTTTTTTCTACAATCAGGTAAGGCCATCAGTTTGTTTACCATTTCAAATTGCATAAAAAAGCCACAATGAGAATTCAGCTAAATGAGGGGCATGTAGTTGCGGAGTGTATCTATATCCTTTTAAAAATTATTATTTTATTAGTAAAACGGAATATTTTTGTCATTAGGACATACGTTGATAAATGACATTCATTCGTCATTCAAATGAATATTTGATTACCGAAATTTCTATCTTAGATCGTACTTATAAGATTTTTTTTTTTTATAGATACAACTTAGAATGGCAAACTAGCTGACGGCCCACCTAATGGAAAGTGGTAACCGTTGCCTATAGACATGAGCAGTACCATGGACATAACAGAGTATACTGTTTCGCCCATGATACCCCCCATGCGTTGCCATTCCTGAGGACTCAGGTGTTATTCCTCTGTACTCAGTAAATTCACGCCATATCCCACCCTTCAAACCGAAGCACAGCCATGCAGACACAACTGCTTCACGGTTGAAATATAAATAAAATACAAATAAAATTAGTTCTGTTACCTAATGATATAAGGTCCTCCTTGCTGCAGCAGTGTAATTGGATGAGTATACGGCGCCCCAGCCATACTGTGGAAGCTCAGGTTTCCTCCTAAGCCTGTATTGTTCAAATGGCCATTACCCAACAGTACACCATTTGAGGTGTTCAGATTTGGTGAGGTTGCATTTGTCGCGTTCAGGTCAGGAGCTCTAAATGCTTTGACTAAGTTTGTCTTCTCCTTCTGCCATACGAACACATTATGCACCATAGCGCACCCGCAGAATATGATGCCAACGCCAATGAAGACGGAAGTCACTATCGCAGGCGTCGAATGGAATTGGATAAATGTGTATAGTATTATACCTGGAATGAATAAAACAGTCGAAAATTAATATCACCAGACAACGCCATCTAGTGCCAATTTAAGCAATGATACTGTATGGGTATTAGACTATCCCTTAAATTAATTTAATTATTTCGAATTCTGTATACTATCTGTAATTGATTGTATATATAATACGCCCAGATTTGTCTGGAAATATAAAAATAAATTATTATACATATGCGAGGATCGAAGTGGTGACCAACAGAAGGTGTTCCGGTTTAACCAACTGTCTCGGGGAAAAGGCATCCTTTGTAATGGCCTCTAACTGCCCCATTACTAGCAATATACCCTGTTCGGTCAACCGCTATGCAGTTCCCCTTGAAAGTCCTAAAGGTCCCTCATAATTTTGCATGCTAAAACTAGCTGAATGTGTAGTGCATATAATATTTGTAGTTCCATTTTTGTCAACCACATTTATTGCAATAAATCCTATTATTAACCCTTAAAAGCCTGATTTTTTTTAAATCAAATTAAAAAATATATAAGTGTACCCTTTACTGTGTTTACTAATGGGGAAAAATAGTAAAAAAAAATCAAAACGATATTTTTATATTTATTTTGAAAAAAAAAATTGGTTACATGTAAACAGCCAAATATTAAAATAAAGTCGATTGTAGGCGCCTAATGCGATTTATAACCCCGGTATCAAATTTGAAACTTCAGGTCTTATAAGGGTTAAACCATGATGGTTAATTCTTACTGAATTCTTGTTGTCACAATGAGCTAACTAAACTGCTTACATCCTCGCCTAGCATCCATCACCAGTGCCCCTACAACGTATATCAATAGTATAGCCGGTGTTACTACTGCATTTTTACCTTAAAAAACACACTGCCTCAGCCTTTTAAATCTGATGGGTGTTACAGTAAATACTGTGCCGTCCGTAGCCATTCATGTCTATAAATGACGGTTGACTCTCTATCAGACCATCAGGTGGACATTCAACTCGTTTACCATTTTAAATTGAATAAAAAACCTATTGCTGATGTTGTTGTGTTGTTTGTTATATAAACCCCATAAGAAATATTACTTGATATAACTTTAACCTATGACTTGGCGCAATGTTTATGACCATTAAAAAATAAACAGTAAAATGACATGATATACGGAAAATTTATTCGTTGCCCCAACAAGAGGAAACTCTTAAACCAAAAAAAAAACTTGTTCATAAACAATACTACCGCCTTCAATAGTGGCAACACCATTTTTAAATAAAAATAAAAACTAAGTGAATAGATATGATGTATTTTTTATGGGACCAAGCTGTAGGTATATCCTTTCAGTAAAAAAAAAATTTCACGATTCGATTTATAAATAACGGAATTAAAAGGTAATAAACATGAAAAATACAAGCTATATTTGTAACAAAAAATATGTACTTCCAAAAGGGAGGAGCCCTCTTGGAAGTACAAAATTTTTTTTTATTCTATTTAGCATGGCAGACAAGCTGACGGCCCACCTGATGAAAAGTGGTAACCGTCGCCTATAAACATGAGCATAACAGAGTATACTGTTTCGCCCATGATACCTCCCATGCGTTTCCATTTCTGAGGACTCAGGTGTTATTCCTCTGTACCCTGTAAATTCACAAACTGAAAAACAGCCATGCAAACAACTACTTCACAGTAGAAACACGAAAGGGACAGAGGTGCCCAAGTAAACGACTTTTATACAAAGTCTCCCTCTGGTAAAATGCGCACTTAAAGAGCTCTTTATACAAGTTCTTCAACGGATAAATCTGAACAGCGTATTGTATCCCGAATTGTCATATAATCGTTCAGGATATACCAACAGCGGTGGGCCAATGGTTGTGCTTTACATTGAGGATGTAAGTGGGTACTTGCCTGTTAAAAATACAGGTATTGATATAAAGAATCCTCCAACAGCGCACACCCTTGTTATTGCTGATTTCTGAAGGTATTTGTTGGACCTGTAAGAAATAGAAAATGCAGATAAATATACAATATATGTTATTTATTCGACGTACGTAATAAATAAACATACGACCAGCTTGATGGAAAGCAATACAGACCAGGGGTGGTTGACTACAGGCCAACTAACCTGACTGTATAAAACCTACGTATTTGTGTTGCCAAATTCAACCAGATTCAACAAACTATTGCATATTCTAGAGGAGACCACAAGGAGGTCGACCTGATTTATTTATACAGTCTCCTGTTGTAATTAATTTAAATCATTATCTCAAGAGATATACGCTGCCGTACTTTCTGTTTATTCAGATAAGTGAATCAGAATGAGACTGTCTAAATATCTAATCCGCACTAAACCGCATCGCGAGCGAATTTTATAAAACAAATTAAATAGGTGCTTTAATGTTTTTGGAAATAGTTTAGTGCGTAGAACGTTCACTGCTTAAGCTGCAGTTAAGCTGTTCCATATCGTAAGATATCGCTCATTTTAAACAATTCATAATATTGTTATTCATAATTATGTCAATTAGGTATATGAATCTTGATTATATAACTTGCTATGCCGTATGTTCACAGCTATATTGTGTGTTTCCCGCATAGAATGAACCACCCATTTTTCCCGTGGGTTTCATAAGAAGAAATCTTTTAGAGATAAGTTCGCCTTTGCTAACATTATTATAAAGAGGGGAAAAGGATTATTAGCAATGGAGTTTGACAGCCCCATTGCTAGCAATATACCTTATTAGGTCGACCTCCACGTGGTTCCCCCTGGAAACCATCATAAATAATTCTCGTTGAATTCGTCACGATGGGCTAACTGACCTGTTTCATCCTCACCTATCATCCTTCACTGGTGCCCCGCCGGTGTATACCGATAGCGCGGGTGGGATTACCATTCTATTATCATCCATTTAAAAAAAAACATTATTATAAACTTCTTGTTGTTACTGTACGTTTTAGTGCAATAGAGAATATATATATATATATATATATATATATATATATATATATATATATATATATATATATATATATATATATATATAAGAGGCGACGAAGGAAACTTAATGATCGAGGGATATGTAGCAGTGTCCATCTTCACGATACGTAACCAGCAGTTAGGTATTGCGGATGCCAATCTGTCTACCAAGCGTGGCAACTACTGGCAACCCCCCCCCTACACCTTATAGGTAAGACCTATGTTCAGCGGTGGCCACTTAACGGCTGATATGATGATGATGATGAGACTTGCTGACAATTCTTTTTGCAATTGCAACATATTAAAATTGAAAATTTTTCTATTACAAATATAACGTTTAAAAAGTTTTTCCAGTTACAGTTACAAGATTTTAGATGGTTTGTGATAAAAAGTCGTGGTTTTCCCTAGTTTTACCATGAGGTCCTTGATAAGCGCGTTCGTGACCGTGGTGTCGCAGACTCTCATATACTACAGTGACATTTACCATCAGACTGGCTGTATGATTATTTGTTGCTATTGAAAAAATATATGCTCTTTCTAATAAGAATTCATTTATTTCTGTATACTTATATTAATGGAACTGATGATGTTTAAAATAAGATTTTTTTTATACAACTTAGAATGGCAAACAAGCTGACGGCCCACCTGATTGAAAGTGGTAACCGTCGCCTATAGACATGAGTAGTACCATGAACATGACAGAGTATACTGTTTCGCCCATGATACCCCCCATGCGTTGCCATTCCTGAGGACTCAGGTGTTATTCCTCTGTACCCAGTAAATTCAGATAAATCATAACATAAAATTAGAAGAAATCACGCAACAAATATCAGAACTCGTATAGAATTTAGGAGAAACTGTTTCGTAAAGTGTCTCAATCGAGAATCAAACCTGATATCAATACCATATACCAATGAGGATATAGGTGCGACATTAAAGTCGTCATAATTACTAATCACCAATTTACACAAAAAAAAATTGTTTTCACCGCAAAAATCTTCATTAACTCATCATCGGTGATTACTGCACATTAGATATGAGCAAATTGATAAATGATACATTAAAACAACTCGATTCCCAAACTCGTTTGAACGGAACGTAACGGACCGTACACCTGTTCACCAAGGTGTATAACCTTGTTGAATTGATTAGATTCCTGTTTAGAAGACTGCGCCGGCGACGGGACATCGCAACTTGGTTGGTTGCTTGTATTATTGGGTTGCATGTCACTGCCCGCCATCAGATATTATGATCGTTGATTGCAGCATTTTATATTTTTACGTGTTAACATGATTCTTAACAGATTTCAAAATGGTGGAGACTCTCTCCTTGATTATAATAAAATGGATTAAAAAAATAAAATAGTAGTCTTTCGAATAGCGTACTTTAATGTATGCCACTTACACATTACCTTCTGTGGGCCATATCTTGATGATTTCTTAATCCCATCACCATCATCATCTCTGTCATTATCCATCCACTGCTGAACATACGCCTCCCCTATAGACTGCTATAAAGAACGATCCTGAATCTTCTGCATTGGAGGGAAGGGATTGTTAGTAATGGAGAGGTTAATCCCCATTGCTATCGATATACCTTACTAGGTCGACCTCCACGCGGTTCCCCCTAGAAACCATCGTGACTAATTTATCATTGAATTCGTCACGATGGGCTAGCTGACCTGCCTTTTTACCGTCACCAATCATCCTTCACTGGTGCCCTGTCAGTGTAAACCGATAGCGCAGACGGGGTTACCATTCCATTATCATCCATGAAAAAAAAGAATCTCCTGCATTCACTGACTCCTTGCAATACATTTGAAGTCATCACTTCATATAGTGGCGAGTCGTCCTAGACAGCTTTTTCCAATACAAAGTCGCCACTCAAGAACCTTTTTTCTCCATCGGTTGTAGGTCCTTCGAGCTATGTAACCAGCCCATTGCCACTTTACCTTGCTTTTCCTGCTTGATGCTTTTTAATACCATATTAGTCTCGTAATAATTTCTTAAAAATATTGAAGCAGATTCCTCAATGAATTAAAATTAATTTTCGTTTTTATATTCGGTAATTACGTAGCTACTTACCGATTTTCTTAAAATCGAAAAAGTTCGAATAGACAATATTTTATATGTTAAAACCTGAATCTATAAAATAATCTTAAACTATTTAATTAAAAATTAAAACAACATACCCACCACTGCCCACGCCAGTCTTAAACGAGGTTGTATTACTTATATATTTGCTGAAACTATCACTTTTTAATTTTAATTAGGTATAAAGAAATTTATAAATAACGGTCTGAACAGCGTAAATGCAAGTGTCAGTTGCATAGTGGTTTTCAACGACTTTACCACTTTGTAACGGCCAGTCACGCTTGGCTGGTTTCAAGTGCAGGTGTTCTTACATGTATTTTATCCATATGTGATAGTTGTCATGCAAATTTTATTAGAGTTAGACTTTTTTAAAATGGTGTTAGCGTTAATAACACTAATATTTTTTTATACTATAAATACTACTACTAATCATATGATGATGTGAGGATGGACTCTGTACTATCAAGAGTTTCTAGGCCGCCATCGTTGTACATAAAGCCTTTTAAAGTGATTTATTGGATGATAGTTCACGTGCTTTCTGAAGCACGAAGTAAGTGACAATCACTATTAAATGATCCAGTATGAATTTGAAAAATTCAGAGGTTTAGGCTGAGATCTTCAAACCATACTCAACTGTTGTATAACAGACCAGTAGTGACAAACTATCTTACTAAAATAAAATATAACTAGGCAATTTCTATACATGGGAGATATTTGAAAAAAAAATTAATGCTACAAAAACTATAAACAGTATTTTTTAAACTTGCCTGCCTGTCTATATGTATGTTTGTTAGTGCATCACGCAAAAACAACTACACCAAACTGGATGCGGTTTGTATTGTGTTCCTGATGATCTCACTTAAAAACTGATATGTTTTATCTTAATACGTCATCAAAATATAATCTATTTCATTGGTTTTCCTTCTTCTGAAATACACGCGTACGAGGTCACAAGCAAAAAAAAAAACTAGTTTTAAAAAACATAATATAATATATAATATCCCTTATCTTTGATTATGAAGCATGAACACATGACAGTAGACACTTCAGTCTATAGATCTGTAAAACAGGTTCCGCCCACCCACAAAGAACGTTAACTTTTTATGTCAACGTTCATTTATTTTCGCATTTTTATTCGCATTGTTTATATTTAACCATACTTACATGTAAATCAATAATTTATCGTCATATTGAACTTGTTATAAAGCGAATCAATATTTATATTCCTATACAAATAAAAGGCAAAAGATATAGTTTTCATCAGGTGGGCCGTCAGCTTGTTTGCCATTCTAAGTTGCATAAAAAAATTTAAGCAATGGTAACAGAAATAAAAATTTATTAACATTAGACAAACATTTGTACTCTGCCACATAAAGTTGTTATAAATAATATTTATAAATATGCTGATTCATTTTATTTATATTCTTATTTATTAATTCTATTAATTTTATATGAAAATACCGTCTATTGTAAATCAAATTAGTTCACTTGCTTCGTTTATGATATTATGTTCCTATTTTTAACTAGTTATTTCGGTAGTCAATGTATTTTATGATCGGCTTATGTTATGTTATGGTTTCAACTAATTAAAAAGCAACAAAACGCAACGGTATACCATACCCGCTTATATTACACATTATACCATGCCCGTTACTTAAACGACGTGTAGGTAAATTTGATCACTATCTTTCGTGTAAGAGGCTGTTATTCTAACAAGAAATTGGTCACTATTTATACGGATATTCAAACAGCATCATTATCAGAGGGCTCACTCCTAATTCCCGAACCATCCAAAAAGTCTTATTTACCTAAAGCAAAACTCAACTGTGGCACGGACGAAGGTCGTCTGATTTATCTATATTATTATTAAACTTATGTACCACCACGTACTCAACAATTAAAATCAAATAAGCAAGCACTCAGGATA